TAAAAAAATACGACCACTGTAAAAGTAACCGGAGAAAACTATCACCCAGTATATCGATTTGACTAAAACTTTAAGAAATAATATGCAATAATAGTCCGAATAAATGTGCCAAATTTTAACGCGATTGGTAAAAGGGTTATGAAGTTATTAATTAAATTAGTTTTATTTTTGACACCTTTGAAGGCCTGTAAAAAAACTAAAAAATTTTTATTTAATTTTGTTTTCGTAGATCGTATTTATTTACCGTCGTGAATATGCAGTCAAGCGTTGTCGGTGAAATTTGCGGACACCCTGTATGGTTGTTACAAAGAAAGTAGAAACCATATACAGGATGTAACTTTGAGTGAAGGTCATATTTATACAAAGGCTACCTTTTATCTTTAGAAACATGTATCAATAGTTTATTTAGAGTGAACAATTTTTTTAACCGTTTTTTAAATCTTTTTTTTATAGTAATTTTCATTGAACATATGCTATGCATTGTTGTCAAATCTCATAATTTAAAGGAAAAGTTATTAAAAATCAAATTCCCACACTACCCGCCGTGAGGTACTTACTTTTGTTGAGTGGATGTTTGTCAGGGGACTTATTCCATGAAAATTTATTTCTTTTAAATAAGATAAACTAATGAACAATCTAACAAAAAAACCTCAAGAAGTAATCAATAATGATATAAAATATACAAAAATAAATAAATGATTTTTGCAGCATCATGCTTGAAATTTTGTGACTAGTCATCAAATACTGGAACCGGATTCTCTTTCAGAGCATCTAAAATTTCTGGTTCCAAATTTCTCATTCTCTGCATTTGTTCCCATCCAACATTAGCATATTGATGTTCAAAGTTCCCATAATCTCTTAAATGTTCAACCAACCTTACAAACATTTTCTTATTCAGTACTTGACGGTCAGGATAATCCATCTGATATTGTCTTCTTGCAGCAGCATCATTTTCTCCTGAAAGAAAGTATACTCTAACCGTATCAAACTCTTTTGATTTGTATACATGCTTTTTCATAATATGTATATAAAAATTTGAAAAAAGACACTGTAATGTCACTAAACACTGAAATACAAACTTTATAATTATACCGGATGGGGCATTTATTTCTAAAAAAGTTTTAGACAAAAATTGTAAGGCACCGAGGGGGCCATTGAAAGGTCCATTTTATGACTTCCGATCTAGACTAGAAGTGGTGTTTTTAGATCGAAAGTTGATTTTTTACATGGAAACACCCATTTTTTACCACGGATTTCGATTGAAAAACAAAAAAAATCTTTTTGTTCTTATTACTTTTTCGATTTAACCCCTATTTTGGCCATAAAATGGCCATAAAAACAAAAAACAAGAATCTTGACAACGGAGTACCTTGTTGGGATAATTTAAAAAAAAAAATGTTTCTTACAGAAGTTGTAGAGTAAAAAAGGGAACTATCTTGACATGACAACTTCAAGGTTGTTTGAAGATCAAATTCAAAATTTTAAATGGGACCCCCCTTTTTTGACCTCGGAAATTACAAGAGTGGAAAGTTTTACAATAAGATATGAACTCAAGAACAAGATGAGATATCAAGGTCTTTTTAAGGTCGAAAAACTGTATAATTATTAACTACTTTTAGCACTACCCAGGAATAATGACATGGACATAGTAGTTTTTTATTCCCTTTGGAGTGCTTGTTTCCAGTGAAGTAAAAAATGTCTTTTTATAACAACTTTTGTATGAAACAGTTTTTTCAAAAATGTGATCCCAATAAGGTACTCCATTGTCTCAAGGTTCTTGTGTTTTTTTTGTTTTTTATCACAAAAATAAGGGTTTCAATCGAAATCCATGGTAAAAAATGAGTGTTTCCGTTTAAAGAAATCAACTTCCAGCTTTAAACACTACTTCTGGTCTAAACCGGAAGTCGTTATATGGACCTTTTAATGGCCCCCTCGGTTCCTTACAATTTTTATCTGAAACTTTTTTTGAAATAATCGAGTCCAACCGAGATATTATTTTGTCTCAAGATAAATGTCCCACTTGGTATATTGCTTACACCACACAAAGGCACTTTACAAACTCCCTTTCACAAACTGATCGAAGTTGAAAAACTATAGTGAAAATGTAACAAACCTGTTTGCTGTCCCGTCATATCATACCACATATGAAGTCAATTTGTGTAGCTGCTTTTCAAAGGTGGAGATATTGCATTTAATTGGAAAGCTGTGGCCCACCTCCGTTGCCTTTTGGAAGCGATTGGAACATGATCAAATTCTGTTTAAATTTAAACTGTTTAATTGTTATTTGTTTTGGATAAGTTTAATATGTTTAGCACCAATTCGCTGCTGAAGTGGCTGATTAAGAAAAAAGAGTGGATACATACTGTATTTCTTTACATACCTGTTTCAACTTTCATAGTTGCGTCCCTATCTATTGTATAATTCAACTAAACTAAATTGTAAAAACTTGAAACAATTTAAAAAAATATTTTATATAAATCAGACTAGTATTTTTATCTTCTAAGTTTGTTTTTTAATACAAAAATAATTAATTAAAAACATAAATTTATTTACAATTAGTAACATACTCATCCACATTGACATAAAAGAAATATGGTGATTTTAAAATAACACACCGTCGTCATTGAAAAGCAATCTGTTTTCACTAAATTATTATTCATTAGTTTCACTGTTACAGTTGTTTAAAAAAAAAATAAGAAATAATTATTAGTATTAGTTAATATTGAATATATCATGTAAAAGTTTTTTTTTAGAACGTTCATCGCTTTGACCAGTCATACCAAACAAAAATGGTAACGTTAAAATAACACATCTTAAGTTATTCAAAAGCAATCTGTTTTACTACATTTTTTTCTATTATAACTTCACACAATGCAGGTTGATTTAAAATCAACTGGCAACACAGATAGTGCAGAAATACAATTTAATCTGGTATGCACAAGAATCGGAGTGCAGTTTAAATAATTAATTTTAACTCTGACTGTTTATTTAATTAAAAAATATATTTCAGAATTGTATTCAGGGGAACGCTTACTATTACCCCCAGTAGCGGCGCGTGAACATTGATTGAATGTGTTCTGCTTAGGGTTGTTACATTTGTTGAATTGAATTCCGGGATATTAAGTACGTAATTAAGTACGATATTAAGTAGTAAGTCTCTAAATGGCGCCGCAGACGAAAATTTTTTAAATTTTGAAGGTCACGCGTTTTCCTGACACTTCTGAATTTCAAGGAACAATCCATTTATACAAAAATACAGATTTTCACAAGAATGCAAAATTTTATGCAATCTATGATTTTAGATAATACATAACGATTTTTCGTTACCTCTGTTCATTGTGTTTCCGTATATTATCCCAATATACAGAATCTAACTGACTTCTTATGTTTATTTTACCTAATGACTTAAATTACTTAAATCTTTCACACTGTATATCCATGTTTTATCCCCACCGAAAAGTAAGCATGGAAAACAAAACTATTTTTTAATTCACCCACTCACACCCACTCTGCTTTTGTGTATACATTATTGTTAAATTGTCTTTTATAACTTTTACTTCTTCTTGTTTCACTAACTTCAATATTTAATTGTGGTGTTGGCCCACCTAATTCTTTTATTTTTAGTTTATCCTCATAAGGCGGAGAACCAAATAAAGTTTTTTTTTTTTAAATGAAACGCTATTCATTTTAATAACTATAATATCCGTAGACACCTAAACGAAAATATTCACAGGTGCCGAAATATTACTGCATTTACTGCAGCAGTGGCTGTCGTTGTTACAGCCACAAAAGCCCATATAAAAGTGTACTGGGTCACGTGCCTGATTAGCCAATAAAAACAAAGGGTGCATCTAATCGTTCGCTGTGCACACATTTTGTATATGAGGTTGCATATATTAAGGAGCGTAGCTCGCGTCGTAATAAATAATAATATAAGCTCCTAGATTTATTTTAGCGCGAGTACATTTGGGTTATTTAAATATTTTGTTGATATTTAATATGATTAAATACATAAAATTTTATGTGTTCTGCAGCTCCGCAGCTCTTATGGTAAAACCGCCACTGATTACCCCTAAAATAATCTGATTCCCACTTAAAGTTACACCCTGTATAATCTTTGAGAAAAAATAATAGGACTTTCCTTATGTCATGCCTTTTATTAATCCCCTCCTTTTCAATATAGTGGTCCTTACAATGTAAAAGAAGAAATCTATTTGAAGTAAAACTTGATTAGTGTTCGAAAATAATCAAAATAATGAAAATCGTCATTCATATTGTTATCAGTCGCTAAACCTGTTTATTGGAACATATAAAAGAAGCTATGGATATAACAAATAACAATTTCTAGATCAAATGCAGAATAATATTGTTTTACAATTATTTATAAAGGAAAATAGTTGATTTTCTCTTTTTCTATTGGAATTGGCCAACATTATGGCTTAGAGCAGAAAACATTTTTTTTTTTAAATGTTTCATGGCAAACCTCTTTTTCTTTCACCTCTCGCTCGACTTTGCATAAAATAAAATGTTGGTAAATGTTTTTTGTTGCAATTTTTATCTATAATCTGTACCAAATTTAAATTTTGTGCTTTGAATACAATTTGAAATTATGTTTAACTAATAACATTTGTAGAGGACAATATTTTAAACTTTTATTTTGGTGAGTGATGTTAAGAATTATAGAATTGTTTGTACAGTTGTTATAAATAGGTATTAAAGTTTTTCTTGTTTCTAGATTTTTGTTTTGCTTTGAAAAGATATTACTGAGGTTACAGCAAGGTTTCAATAAACTTATATACAACTTTTTTTTTAAATTAGCTGATTGCTTTTGATCAAATTTAAAGTGCTTGAATAGTTATTAAAATTTTGAAGTAGTTTGTAATCAAAACGAAGTAGATAACTGAAATTGGTTAATTTAATTTTATAAAATAATAATTATACCACTGTATTACAACTTACATTATATATTTTTTTGAATAATAATTGTTCTTTAAATATAGCAATGATGATGAGATAGAAGACGAAGACACTAATGAGGATTCAAGTTTAAAATCTAAGAATCGAGATGCTTCTGAAGCAAATTCAGAAGTTGCTGAACCATCACCAGGTCCTTCTGCCTCTTCTGAAACACAACCTTTGGATACTGATGAAAGAATATTGGAGGAGTCTATGGAAGATAAAAATGCTTGGCCCACAATTACAGACCTTAATACGAGATTGAGAAGGGTAATTACATCTTATCAAAGAAGTTACAGAAAGGAGGAACAGAAAATGGCTGCCGCAAAGCCAAAGGTACCTACTTTTTTGTGTTTATTGTTAAAATTAGAACTATTGGTAAAATATTTTCTATTAAAATAATTTATTCAATAATAAATGTGCTTAGCGCTTGAATGTTAAGTGTAGAATTTTCATCAATACATTATTTGATTATTTATATGTTTATGTATTTGGAACAAGCAGGAATGAGTATAAAACTTATATCTTGAGTAATAATTTTGTTGTGGTATATGTGATATAATTAAAATATTAATTGATTTATAATATACAATTTATAATAAACATTAACATGGTTATACTGATTAAGAGATAACATCAAATTTTTAGATTTTATTTGGATATTCTGTAATAATGAAGACATTGCTCAAGATAATTACAGAAATATATTTTTTAATTATTATTTATATATTATTACTTATACAAAAGTACAATTTTATCATTATACATTTGAGGAGAGGAAATTATACTTTATTTATATAGTCTACTAAAGTGATTACCTGATTATGGGATCAAATTAATTCAAACAATATATCAATATTATATCGCACCCCCTCAAAAAAAGAGTCACAAGTCAAAAAACGTCCTTAATAAGTTAAATATGCAGCAAGATTTAAAATGACTAATTCTTTCTTCCACAAAGGCGTCATATTTTTATTTGAACTATTACTCGCTAGATGGCAGAAGTGACACTTGTATTTTGTGGTAGGTTGTCAGCTCTGCATTCAAAAACAGTGTTACATTTCGACTTGCAGCAGCAGGTATGTAGCCAGTTATTAAAGTTTCTTCGAGAAAAATGTCATATTGCGTATTATGACAGTTTTTGCAATCAATCAATCAAATCAATCAATGAATCAAAATTTAAAAAAAAACAAAAAAAAAAGATCTGAATTTAATAGAACATAACCATATTCCTAAATATTACTTGCCGTTTTATAATGCCTTATAATAATAAACAATTAAACATGTTTTATACTTTATTTTTGTATATTATTTATTTATTGTGTATTATATACTGTGTCTGATTTTTAAAATAATTTATATGTTATTCTAAAAACGTGTCACAACTTCAACCATTTTCCTTTTTCAACCAAAAATAAACACAAACCGATCTCGCTCACAAGTCTAGTATATTCTAACATAATATGTATTATATCTACATTTAAAATAAAGCGATGTATACTTTATATTTTGTTATTGTTACGAAAAATTGAGACCAAAAGTTAATTAAATACTTTAACACAGTTTTTCTCAAAACCATTTTTTTTGAGTTGTGACTCCTTTCTAGCGGAGGTTCGATATGTAAATATTGAAATAAAATTTTCAATATATAAAGTAAAGAAATACACAAAAATGAAAAAAAAAGGCAAAAAAAAGATGTCTTAAAAACCCTCATTAACATAATTGTTTTCATTATACTTTTTGAAATTTTCTTGTTCATACATTTAGATGAAATTCTGCATTTATCCTTTATATTTTAAATATATTTTGTACGAATAAATTTTGTTATACACAGTAATTTGGGATTAAATTCCCATAAATAAATAAGGAGACGATGCTTTTTTTAATCAACATAAGGCCTAAATAGTGAAACAAAATTAAAGCCCCTGAAAAGGGTTTATTCTGACTATAGCTTTTGTTAAATTTTCCAAAACACAATAACAATGAATATAATTTTTAGGGTTTATTTATTTAGTAGATGTAATAATTAATATTTATAGAGGGTTGCAGAAAATAAATCTTGACTATATATCATTATAAAGTTTATGCAAGAATATGCCTCCTATTATAACGAGCGTTCAAATAAAAACGTGGTCAAGTTGGTTCTGAAAATTTGGACGTAGGGCGTAGCGTATAGCAAATGAACTTAAACGCACTATATCGCCGCTATCAATTTGAATATTTTCGTTTTAAAAAGCGTTTAAAATGGTTTCTCAAGAACAAAAAGTGTTTATCATAGAGTCCTACTTTAGAAATGGACGCAAGATTGATATAATATGGAAGTATTCTATTGAGGAATGTTTCATAGAATTTCAAAATCAATTTCCCGGCGTTGTTGAGTAGAAAATTTTTCAAAGTGCAGTTCAGCGTTGTGTTAATGTTTTTCGTGAAACGGGCAGTGTAACAAAAAAAGAAGGAAGCGGCCGACCTAAAAAGCGGACTGAAGAATTAAAAGAAAATGTCCAACAAATAATGGAAAATGCGCCAAGAACTTCTGTACGTGTTTTATCACAAATGGTGGGAGTATCAATTGGTACCTGCCACACATTGTTAAAAAAAGATTTGCGTTTGTTCTCCTATCGTTTAACTTGTCAGCAAGAACTTCATGAAGTTGATTTTCCGCGACGGGCTGTATTTTGTGAATGGTTTTTAAACAACTACGGTGAACTTCATAATATCACCTTTTTTTCTGATGAAGCCTGGTTTCATTTAAGTGGTTACGTAAACTCACAGAATATGAGAATGTGGTCTTCTGAAAAATGATAACTTTTTTGTAGAGAGCCCTCTACATGCTCAAAAAATTGGAGTTTGGTGTGCTCTCAATCGAAGGAGGATTTATGGACCTATTTTTTTTAATGGTACTCTTACTGCGCAAAGGTATAGAGAAGAAATTAATGCTCCTTTTGTTAACCAGCTGGAAGAAAACGAAATTACAAACTTTTACTTTCAACAAGATGGCGCAAGGGCACATACGGCAGACGAGACGATGAATATGTTGAGGGAAGTTTTCCAAAATCGACTAATAAGTCTCAATGCTGAACATGAATTTCCACCGAGGTCATGTGATATTACGCCGTGTGATTTCTTTTTGTGGCCTTACCTTAAAAACACTATTTTTGAACTGCCTATTCCTGATTTAAACCATCTGCAGGCTCGACTTATAGACAAGATTCGTGAAATTAACAATACCCCGAGCATCTTAGAAAATGTCTTTAATTCTTTGAGGAACAGGTGTGAAAAGTGCTTGGAACAAGGAGGGGGACACTTTCAGCAGCAGCTTTAATTGTTTGTTATTGTTATCACGATTATTCTTTAAAATAAAGTTATATAGTCATTAACGTTATTGAAACTGACAGCTGCTATACAGCTCGTTGAGAAATGAGGTTAAGTTGGTCGCTATAAGCTACTCCCTACGTCCAATGTGTCAGAGCCAACTTCGACCACGTTTTTATTTGAACGCTCGTTATTTTGAATAATAAAAACATATGTCCTTCCATTTTTTTTCTCCATTGGTAGAATATTGTTGGAGATAGAAGTAAATTTATATTTATTTCTATTTTGTTTAAATAAAATTCAACGAGAAAAGCTATGAATAACAAATTCAACAATTGGTTTTTATATAGCACACTATTTTTTTTAATGGCAATATAATAACAGTTAATTAGTTCTGTGTTATAGGAGAAAACTTTAGTAATTAAGAGTAGAGGGAATATAGATCACCAAAGTGTTTCTTGTTATATCTCGATATATGATGTATTCCTAGAATTCCATATTTTATCAAAACCATATTAAGTAAAATGTTATAGCGATAGAAACCATTGGAATGTCTTCTATTTTATATTAAAATCATGTTCTTAGAAGTGTGTACTGTATTAGATAGAAACATATTCATTTCTCATACAACAAATAAGTCATAAACATAAGAAAAATAAAACAAACGGCTCTATTTAATAAAACATAGAAACACTAGAATATGTTATAATAAAAACAGATTATAATTGATTATGTTATATAGACATCTATCTACCAACATTTTCATAATAAAAATGTACATAGAATTTGTATGTCTTTTAGGTTGGACTTGTTACGTCACAAGTTTAGTTTAGCAATATTTACTAGTGCTGGCAACTGAAATTGGTTTTTTGGATAGTCAGTTAACCGGTTTCGGATAATTTGGATTTTTATGAAACCCGAAAACTGGTAATTCAATTCTTCAAATATCCGATTATTTGATAATCTGTTCATTCAAACATCCGAATAATCGGATTGTTTATAGCTAATAACTACATAACACTATAATATAGTCGTAATGTTATGTAGTTATTGACATTGGCTACATAGTACATACATGTAGATACCTACTTCAAAAATTAGGTTGAACTATTAAGGGAAATACAATTTATTTTTATAGTTTATCCTGGGACACAGATACAGGCTGATAAAAAAACAATCACCCACATACACCACAGTCTATTAAGTGTAACTGTTTTAATATTTTAACTTTTTACATTAGGCTAACTGATTTTATCTTAAATCGGTTTTTACAGAACCTGGTTGGCCGGTTTCACTATTTTTCAGTTGTTACCAGCACTAATATTTACAAATTGGATAAAGTTATTTATGAATTTCCTAGAACTAATACATTTTATTTATGAGTTATCTCAGTGTTTCTTAAGATACATTTTAAAAGTTGGGTTAGGGTAAGTTTTTTTTATGTTACGACGAAATACTTAACCTTACTGATTTCTATAGGGACGTTGAATAAGTTATCACTGTTTTCCAATAGATGATCTTACCAGAACCTATAAAGAAGTGATATAAGCAAGCTTGAAATTCAGTATATGTTATTTCACGGAAGTGTAAACCATTGTTCAAAGTGTGAAACATTTTGAATTTCATGCCGAAAAGGGGTACTTGTGGGAATTTTACTGTGCTACTTTATTGAAAGGAAATCTATTGAAAGGAAGCACACAGAATTCTTATTGAGACATACAGATAACCATGCTCTGTTGCAAACAACATGCAGAGATTGGTTTAAACATTTAAAAAATAATTATTTTGATGTTGAAGTTGAAGAATTGGAGATATGCCTGCCGATGAAAAATAGATACACTACGAGATAATCCTAATCATAGAAAATTATGGGGTAAGCCCTGCCATACATCAACTTCGTCGGCAAAGCCGAATATCTGTAGTTCTAAGCTTCTGCTCTACATTTGGTGGGATCATTTGGGTATAGATGATATGCTAGAAATGAATGAAATCAGCACAGGAGAGCGTTATTTATTACAATTGAT